GGTGAGCAGGACAGGCCTGAGGGCAGGAGCGCTGCCTCCACCTCCACCGCGGAGGCCGCCAGGGCCCCCCGCCCTGGCCAGGCCTACCCTTCTACCCCAGTGGGCCCACTGCGCTCAACAGCAACCCAAGGGCAGCTCCGTCTGCTGGCCAGAGGTGGGTGCGGGCAGGTCCCCCAGACTCACCCGGCTAGAAGGGCTCCCCTATACCTGGGAGGGATAAGTCCATGCCACCAGCAGCTAGAGACAAGGGACGGCCACCTTGTCTTGTCTGAGATCAATACAAGCCAGTGGAAGGACGGGGCTGGGGGATGGGGGGCAGGGTCCTTGGCTACTTCAGCCCTCCTAAGGCGGGGGAGGCCCAGGCTGAAGCTGCCTGGTGACCTGGGCTGGGTGCCGGTGGTGGGATGAGAGGGACACAGAGAAGGGGTGGAGCTGCTCGGCAGGGAAAGAGGGACAGAGGCTGTGGAGAGGAGATGAAGGCCTGATGCCTCCTCCATGGCCTCCTGTTCTGCCCGACATGCCTGCCCTTGCCAAGACAAGCCACGTATTGGGGAATAAAGAAGGCAACTGGGGTGTCAGGGCACACCCAGGACACCAGAAGTGTGCAGTTGTGAAACCACAACTAACTCAGGGTCATGCCTCCCTGAGACCGTTGACCCCAGATCAGGCTGGGCTGGGGACACAGGCTGAGGACAGGGCCAGCATCCCATTGTACTCTAAACATGTGTTACTTTCAGAACCAAAAAATGATAATGTTGTCTTGGATCTTTGCGGATGGCCCGAATGCCAGAGCAGGTCCTTTCCTGCTGCCCCCGGGCCGGCCAGCAGCTCTGACAACCCACCTCCATCCACAATGGCCTCATAGGTGACTTCCAGCAGCAGTCGGAGCTGGGGGTCCATGGTGTGTGCCTGTTTCGGGTGGACCCCGAAGAAGGAGGCATCAAACTTGGACAGGTCCTTCAGCTTACCAGACCGCCGGGGCAGCCCGTAGAGTCCTGCGGGACATGTAGGCATATTCCTTCCCTGACTGAGGCCATGGGGAGGTGGACGGCACCTGTGGGAGCTGCAGGACCTTGGAGGTCCCCAGGGTGGAATTAAGGAGCCCCACCCCTGAGAAGGGCCCCACCAGGGCACTGTGTAGGTGGAGTCCTAGAGCAGAGACAGGTGGGGGTGAGGCTGGGGGCGGCCACCTCCTGCCCACCCACTGTCCCCGGCTGGGAGACCCTCTGCCTGGTGTGAGCTCCGCCACACTGACTCACATCCAGTTCATCAGGTAAAGCCACTCTGGAAGAATCTACTGGGTGCAAAGGAGTCACACCAGTCTCTCTGAGTGCCCCTGGTGTCCCTACCTCCCAGCTTGGGACACAGATGGGGAGCCCATTCCTTTGGCTTCATCCTGGCTCTTGTCCCCTGCTGCAGGAACCTGACAAGTCCCTCATCCTCTCTGAGCCTCACAGCTTGGGCCCACTTCCCTGCTGTCCTGGCACCATCTCCAGGAAGAATCACCCCCCGGGGGCTGGTGGCTCTGCAGGTGGGACTGGACTCAGGCCAGGTCCTCAGGGCAGCCCAGGAGGCTGACCCGAGGAGCAAAAGTGAACCTCCTGTTTCTGCCACTTACCCGCCTTCCACCGGCGGTCATCCTCAGTGACCATGTCCACACCACCGATGAGGTTGGCCCAGAACTCCTGCAAGTTCTCTGACTCCGGGAGCTTCCCGGACATGCCGGCGATCACCACCTCCTCCATGGCTTCTCTCTGCAGGGAGAATGGCAGAGGTGCCCCACAGGTCAGTGTCGGCCCCAACACACCCTGTTCTCAGTCTCAGTTCCCAGAACAGCAGCTGTCCATGCCTTATCCGGCACAGGGGTCCACAGAGCATGAATCCCCTGACCCAGCTGTGGTGTCCCCTTGGGTCCCTGCCTTCTGCCTGCACGCTGTCCGGGAGCAGGAGCTCAGAAAGCCGCAGGGGCAGCCAGCTTCTGTGCCCTGCCCCCACCAGGTGCCCTGGTGTGGGGGGAGGTCACCCTTGTCCAGCCCTCACCGTTCACCCAGAGCTACCTGTTACCTCTGGGACCCTGATCCCTTTCCTTCAAGGTGCTGGCCTGGGGTGACCCCTTGGTGGCCCTGCTATCCTGGGCTCTCCAGCAGCTCAGAGGGGTCTCAGCCCTGCAACCTCCTACTTCCTGCAATCGGGTCGCCAGCCTGTTAGGAGCTGGCCCACGGGATCAAGGTCCTGCAGTAGGGCCCCAGGGAGGGAGCGATCGAGCACAGACTGGTGTGCAGCACCCACGCTCAGCCCAAGCCCCAGGGCAGAGGAGCGGCAGGGCGTCCACCTCAGAGCTGGTCTCCATGCTGGGGTGGGGGCCTGCCGCCGCCCAGGCCAGCCCAGGAGCTGCCAGGGCTTGGGAGGGACCCAGTGGAGACAGGCATGGGCACTTGCCCCACAGCGGGCCGATCCAGCCAGTCCAGCCCCTCCGGCAGGGTCCAACATGGGGAACCACTCCCCGCCAGGAGCCAGGCAGGTGCTTCCCAGCCCCGGACGGCAGCAAGCTCTGCAAAGG